CCATCATTATCTATAATGGCTCAGAGAATTAAAGAATTCTAAAGCAATAAGAGAATTGAGACAGAATCCAGTGCAGATTTCTCATGTAAGGAAAAAGAAACCAAAGGGCAGAGAGGATTTGTGTACCAAGGTTGTACTCTTTGTCTGTGGTCAAGCCAGACTAAACCCCTGGTCTCCCATCTCCCAGTGAAATGATCTTTTGTTGTGATGGTTCAAAGGTTACTAGGCTTCCTCTTTCTTTGGGGCTTTTTCTGGCTATTTACTCCCTTTGAGTTCTGAGTCAGACAGGCACTTCTGAGATTTTGGAAAAATCTGTGCATACTCAACCATGATTTCAGAAAGGAAACAGCAGCTTTACTTCAATGGGAAGGGCCACAGAGGGCCGCCTAAAGACCAGACTTTGTCACTAGTTCTTCCAGGCCACACAACTCTAACTTTCCATCTTCCAACGCCCTTCCCCCGAAAAGTCAAAATTAAAAAACATATCTGCTCCTTCAAGAGCAGGCAGGGCCTTAGCAAAACCCTCTACCATCTGCCATAGCAAGTAAGCCTTTCTCAGATTAGCAGTTGTTACACTGGAAGGTAAAGAGTACTTGATCTTAGAAAAATAAAAAGTAAGAAAATGTGTGTTTTATTATTTCTTGATTAGGAAAATAGAGCATTGATATATCCTAGACACCTAAAGGTAGCAAGGTCGTATTTCTCAAGGTGGGGTAGTTGGAGAAAGTGGAAAGAGAAGAGGATGCCTCTAACACACACTACTTTCTGCATTTACTTGCTTGTTTTTTCTTTTTTTTTCCTAGAGCAGTCTTTTTTCCTGCCATGGTCTGTGGGCATGTACTTTGCTTACTAATGATATCCCTAGCCCCAGCTTTTTATATATGTATATATAGTTGTTACATGTTAGCCATTCTGGCAACACAATGGGCATTTTGGTAGAACAAACGTTCTGAACTTCAGGAACTCATGCTAAATCATCTGCCACTAAAATACTGAACAATTTTGGGAAAAGTCTCAAAGTAACTTTGTATGTGTGCCCCTACGTGTGTGTGCATGCACATACACGTGTGTTAGGATACAAACAGACAAGGAAAGAGCAATACAACTTGTAATACTTGATTTTCTGAGGCAAAAATAGGTCTCCATGGTTCCTGCCCTTCTGAGTAAGTGACTAACCAGGGGAATAGTTCACTTAAAAAAACAATTTAGTAATGACATCAACACCCCCTCCCCAAATTATCATTGCTAACAATCAAGTGCATTCTGCCATGTTCTTCAACAGGATTTTGTAGGTAGCACTCTTTATGCATTCAGCAGTAATGGAAACTTCTTCCAAAGGTTTAAGAAAACATGAAAACCACAAAGAATGTTCGAAATTATTTTCTCTTGGTTGGCAGAACAGATGCCTTTCCTCAAGGAAAATGCCTTAGGCCCAAACAAAGCCATATTCATTCAAAATACATTGTTTAGTAATTGCACAGACTCTGGATTACATAAAATTTACTTTCAATGCAAGGATTTCTTTCTTTTAGGAAAGGTTTATAAGCAAAATGGAACAAGAAGACAGGCAGAGGATAAAGTGTTAAAAAAATCAACTATGTCAAGGGTAAGAGAAGTTCAAGAAACGACAACACAAGTACACTGAGAGGAAACCTGCCAATGTGGATGTGATTTTGTCTAGGGGTCATTCAGGAGCACTCGGCTGGTTTTATTTATAGGGCGATTGTCAAATCAATCTGTAGAATATGGATGAGGTGAAACGCAGAGGTAGAGTACTATTCTAGATCATCTGTAACTTTTCAAATACAACCTTCCTGCCGAAATTCCAGGGAGAATGTAAGTGACTCCAATAAAGAAACCTGTCAGTCAGTCAAGAGTGTTTATTTATTATCCCCCTGTGCCAGGCTCTGTTCTAGCCAATATGAAATGATACAAAATAAAGAGTAGTCGTCACCCTTACAATCTCCTGAGAGCAAATGGATGAAATGTGCAGACACACACACACACACACACACACACACACACACACACACACACACACACACACACACTCTCTCTCTCTCTCTCTCTCTGTGGGTGGTCAGGAAACTCAACTATATGGACACATAACAGCCTCATTTAGAAAAATCCTGATTAGAAAACTAAACTTACAAAATTAGAAAAACTGGGGAGTAATGAATTTTATCATAAATAGTTAAAATGGATTCATAAGTCATGTCTTTAATACAAGTCTCATAGTGCTATTAAATTTGGGAATACTCTCCTCTCCCTCAAAAATTTACAAAAACTCTCTGGAATATATTAATTGTGCAAATATAGATTCACAGTGGTGTCAAGGAGCTGCTAATGTGAATATAATAACAAGGCTGTGTCCACTGAACTGTAAATCCCTTACAGTCCAAGACTGGGCCTTATTTGGCTTTATATCCAGCACTCTGAAGATAGAAGTGGTAAAGAAATAGGACTGATTGAGTAGGACTGATTGCAAAGGTGGTAAAGAAATAGGACTGATTGCAAAGATTTAAAAGAGGAGCTGAGCCTCGCAGAATTTTAAGAGGGAAAAAAGAAGAGGACTAGATATCCCAAGGAGATAGGTCTGGTTGGTTGGCCCCAGTCATTGTTCAAGTATAGGAAGAGGGCTTGGCATTTTCAGCATGACCGAGGAAGGGGCAGCTCCCTGTTTGGTCTAGTAGGAGTATGTCTCTACCTGAATGACACTCCTTAGTGGTAGGGACATTGTTATCTTGATTTTCTGCTCCAGCCCAGGTGTCCCTGGTGGTTGAATTGTTTGCATTGACTTGTTTAACCAGAGGTTGGGTGATATTTCCGATTTGCCTGCATTTTTTGATGCACTTGTTTGGCATTAATTATTTTTTTCTTTTCAGTTTGATTTTTTTGTTTCTTCTTTTTTTATTACTCAGAAAAACTTCATTTTTTTATTTGGCTTTCTGAATTTGAACTTGTGCCTTCAATGCTTTCACAAGGATTTTTCTATTCCTTGATAAGGAAAGCACACTTGAATCCTGTCAGGGACACATTTAGCACACATGGAATCACCATAGGCTCTGCTGACATGTTTTTTCATTTTAGATGGCATCATAAGAATTTTAGATCCCACAGCACCAACCCCTAGAAACTGGCCTGGGCACATGCCACATATGGATATTGGTGCTTTTGCAACTTTTTTGATGTAAAGGTAGACAATTCTATTACCAGGGGTTCAGGAAGCCTAGTTTTGTTAGAGGCTGTATTGCAGGACAGACCAAGGTGGTTTGTCAAACTCTGGCCCATTCTGAGTGCCTCCAGGAAGTCACTCCCCAGATGATATTAACCTGATTTGAATGCTGCCCAACTAGTACATAAACTTCACAAGGGCAGGGACTTTTGTCTGTTTTCCCTGCTACAGCCCCACTCCTGAAACAGCTGACATAGTAGGCATTCAATCAATACAGCATTTGTTAAATGCATGAATGTTATTATTTTGGCTGTTTGTCTTTACTTTGCTTCATCCATCTTGCTTCAGAGAGCTGGAAATTGGAAGGAAGTTTTTGAATTCAATCTCCCTTCTTCCTTCAGACCAGAAACTCAGGCCAAGGGTCCTTGCAAAGTCCTGTGGGAATGGGTATTCCCTAAGAAACTAAGGACAAGTCACGGCTACAGGGGACAAGAGAAGGACAGTCGCAAGAAGTTCTTGGCCACGTTTTGCTTTTGCAGCACCCTTCGCGACCCATCGTGCTCTTTACTTGGGGTTGGGGCGCCTGGAGAAAGGTAATCGGGGACGTCCCCGCAGCACCCCCTGGCTGTGCCGGCACCTGTTGGACAGCCGGTTGGCGGCTCCCGCCGGCGCGAGAGGACGCGGCCCGGGGCTGCCCCTGCAGGAGGCGTCGCGCCCCCCTCCCCGCCCCAGCGGCCGCCCGCGGGACAGCGGCGCAGCCTCCCCCGCG